TGATTGTTTGGTTTCATTGTCATTTATTATCCTAGGATTATTGTAAAATGATCCATCTGTAATCAGCCCTAACTCTAAACCTTGAATATGATATGACATTTTGTGAAATGCTCAAAAACCGATTCGAAGGAGTCGTTTTTATAAATCAAACCCAAATCTGATTTTTCTGAGAATAACAGAAGTTAGCTGCGCTTAATTTTCCCTGATATAAGCAACTACAAAACTTCAAAATGGACCTTATACAATACTTGGCCTCATTTTTACCTATTTTAAGGCCATTCCATCAAAGTTGGATCTGCTGGTGGTTTTTGCATGGTTTTGTTGTCAGCACATTTAACTAAGAGCAGAGTTTTCAATGAGATTATTTCATTCATTCAGATCTAGGATTTGTTATTTGATTGTTCCCTTTGTTTTTGTTTTTTGAGTAGTATATTTTTATTTAAAGCTATTTCAGTCAGCATTTCAAGTATTTAACAATAATTGAATGAAAGAACAGCGGCCACTTAAAGAACATTTGGTGCCAGATGCCTGTATTTTTCTCTCTACAACACACCCAATAACCCATTTGTTTGTTACAGAAGGAGAAGTCACCATTTCCTCTTCTTGTGAATTTCTCTAAGAAAACCCAGCATCAGCTTTACCACGGCCCTTTTAGTGTTTATGAACTGCTCTGCTGTTTTTTCTATTTACCTAATCTCCGAGCTGTTCTCTTCTTGTGTTTTCATCATAAAAGTGCCCCCAACCTAAATGTTCCCTTTTTCCCCGCTAGTTGAGCCGACTTAAAAATAGCGTAAACCGACCTCTATGTGGCAGCTGTTTCTGTTATACAACGATTTTGTAAGCCTGCAAGATATGGCTGTTATTCTTAGTAAAGCTGGAAGGGTGAGGCCTGTTGGGAAAGAGGTTTGTCATGCTCTTTGTTTGGCTGTCTTTTTACGGATTATATAGTAGTTATTGGCTTGAAGAAAAAAAAAATGTCTGCATCAGAAAATGGTCCAGGAAATGACTACTGCTATATTTTTTTGGGTGATTACTGTGTATCTTCTTCTCAACAATGTACTATATGAGAAACATTTGATGAAAATTAGGACTACATCTGCTCTTTTGGAATCAAGAAATTTGGTTGCATGAAATTAGGTCCTTAATTCCTCTTTAAAGTTCCACTCAACAAAAAAGTACCTATGTATAACACAAAACCATGGCACTTAAATCCCAACTGGTATTCTCCTGTCCAAGCAGCTCTTTGCAGTAGTGATGTGGCATCGGCTGTCTAAAATACATTGTGCCCTCTTTCTTATAAAACTCAGTGATGCACCTCTAAATTGAGGCGTATCTCAAGGCATTTGGGTTTTTAAGGAGGCTCTTTCGTTGAATACTTTTCTCATTGTTTTCATTACTTTGCTGGTTCTGTTTCATCACAAAATGAGGAATTTGGCTCCCTATATCATGCATAAGACAGGTTCTAGCAACAAGTGTTGTGTATATTCAATTATAAGAAAATGTTGATAAATCTATACCCATTAAAAAAAAAATCTTAAGTCGTGGCTGTAGGACTATGGATGTATCATTAGTTGATAGTCCTCACTGCTTTAGAAGGCTGGGGAGCTCTACATCTTGTTTGTTTTCCTTGCGCTGCTAAACAGGAATCCATGTGCCGTCTCGGTGAAGTCGTTTCCCTGGAACATTAAAAATGTGCTCGTTAAAGGCATGCTGCAGCTTGAACTGTGGTATGTGTTTGCAGAGGTGTTGAATGAGAAAAACACGGCATCCCAGCTGTTGGATTTGCTTTGCCTGTGGGCGAAGGCGTTTTTGTTTTTATATTGCAGTATACCCATTTCATAAGTTTTGTTTTTTTTGTATGGTGGTTAATGCTATAAATATTTCAACATGTAAACACACCCATCTCGATATCCCAAGTCTTTCTCACAGAGAAAAAACAAATCCTTTTAAACACCAAAGCATGTTTTTATATGTGAGAAGTGTGTTTTCATCCACAGTGAACCTAATTTTTTTCCCCCTCCGCCATAGTTTGAAGAGGAATGCTTTCCTGTGTTGCTGCTTGGCAGCCTTTGTGTTTCTTTGCCAGGTAGAACACTACCTACATTTGCATGTGCCTTGCAGGACGGTCTGGCCTTGATTTGCATTGTCTCTTTGTTTTTGAAACCCTTCAATTTCCCGAATCTCCCTTCCTGAAAAAACACAAATCCTATTTTCCAGACTCATGGCGTTACTAAATTACTCTTTGTCCAAAGGGAAAGCATTGTTTGGTGTATGCAGGAAGAAATCAAGAAACAAAGCATTGTTTTTGGATTTTCTTCTCCCCTTCTCCACCAGTGGAAAGCATACAAGACCTCCAACCAAATTCCAGAGGAGGTTACTCATAGCTTGGCCAACAGATCCAATCACTGTGGAGACTGGAGTGCCGTGTTCTCACACTCAGCTATCCTCGTTTAGCTTTTACAAAAATAAGTTGGCCTGCTAGAGTTTTCCTTCATGCTAAGGCAATCCAAGAGTTATTAATTCACATTCTCCAAAACCATCATTTATGAGTGTGTTTCACTCCTCTGCGTTATTCCTCTTAAAATTAAGGGTTAATATAGTATATGAAATGCATTCATTTCCACACTGTTTCCTACTTTTTTTTTATGAATAGATTTAAGGAACACTGTTGGTTATTTGGGTCAAAAACAGTTGATTTAAATGGATGATTTGGGTCTGGTTAACTTTTTTTTTTTTAGCCGTTTATTTCAAGTTTCAAATTCTCTTCAAAACAAGAAGTGTAAAATACATCACTTTGACTTTATGCGAATCCCTGGTTGTTTTTTTTTTACTTTAAATAATTTCTTTAGAAAAATGGAAGAAAAAGAGAAAAAACTCTTTTTGCGTGAGCTTTTCAGATGTACTTGTGATATCGCAGAGAGGTGATTCACATCTCTCTAATATAGGGTTGTTTATTTTTTTCATTATTTTTGATTTTTCTTTTTCTTTTGTCTCCAAAGAAAGAGAGAAATTCACTGGAGAAAAGAAATGCTCCTTTGATGTATCTATTTTTATTCAGACTTTATAAATGAGACCTACAGCAGGGCAGAAAGCAGCAGAAAAAAGGGAGCTTAATAGAGGAACCACGTTAATCCTTTATTGAAATATGATAAATACATTTTCCAGGAACGCCTCATACAAACTAAGTTTATATTTTACCTAATAAACTCCCATTTCCCAGAAATAAAAATGGCAATTTTTTTTATGTAGGGTTGGCCTTTTGATATTTTTTATATACGGTATCCTTTTACAAAAACAGCAGGATTGACAGAACTCTAATCTTAATGGCTCTGGCTACAAAAATACTGATAACTTCTTTGGCAACAATAGTATAGATTTCATAGAGCAGAGAGCTTCAATAGTTGAAGGGAAGTTAGCCGTTGACACTATTATGATGGTAATAAATTCTATTTAGGTTGCTCTACATGTCTTTGATCATGTCAATAAAACATCTATGAATGTTTCAGATGAGTCAACTGAATATGACTGAAACGAGTTTGAGATAGAAAAAAAAAAAAAAAATATTTCACATGGCCGACAATATAACTATAATATGGAGTAAAGCTTCTCAATCAGTAAGCTTTTTGTAGTGTTTGTGTATTTTGTGAAATGATGAAAATGATGGGTTCTGTCACAGATCTGCCTGTATTTCGTTCATTCACCCGTTTGGGTCGATGAAGCTGAAAATTAGATTTTGCTCTTGCTCATTTCATCTAGTGCATTGCTTTTGTTTTTTCTTGAACTATTTTAGTTAAAAAGTTGAGCAGAGCACTTTTAGTTACAGAGTGAAATAGCCGTTATAATTTATTGTTTTGCAAACGCATGCCATTTACTGTGAATTTGTTTTTGCTGCAGGGTTGTTTATAATGGATGGAACAGATGTTTATGCTCCAGGCTGTTGTGCTGACGGCAGAACAAAGCTGAACACCCCAGTGTTTGAGAGCATCAGCTGAAAAACAGAGCTCAGCATTCATTTATTCAAAAGACAGTGGGCAGCAGAGTGGCCTGGTAGCAGCATGAAACAAAACCCCCCAAAATATGCAGCCCTCTGCTGCTCACCCCTTTCAGCCTACATAAAAACAGAAGTCATATTTTGGTTGGCTCAGTCTTTGAGGAGCCTTTTCCTTTGTTTGGCTCGATTAAAGACATAACATTGTCAACATAAGCCTTTTATTTTTAAGATCTCTCACGTGCTGCTCAGGTTGTCTCAGGCAAAAATCTCTCAAGTGTTTTCAGACATTCTGTACATTTCCACTCTGAACCAGGAAATACAGCCTCTCTCCCCCCTTTTATTTAACTCTTACATTTCCTCTTTGATTTTTACAGCACTGCACATATTTACAAAATGTCTACATGAAATGTTACAGTTATATCCTTAGATAAAAACTGTAACTAGATCAGGGTCGTAATCAATTCTGGAAATCCCCACCAAAACATATGAGCTAGAGGGGATATATTCAACACACCCTGCTGTCAAGACATGCCTGCTATGAAACAATACCAGTCAGATTCCTGGATGTTTTGTATAGACCATCACATTTTGGATGAAACTGTTGGTGCTGCATTGTGTACTATACCTTAGTTTGCCTGTGGTTGCATGTTTAATATTATATTCCTTTTCTCTGCCCTTACATTCCTATATTTGTGTCGCTGCTAATAATGAGTTAAACATTTGTTTTTGATTAGGGACGAAATTTAGAGATTAAGTATTTATTTTCCTCTGGTTAAATAAATAATTAAATGCTTTCTTACCCATTTAACTAGCTTCAACAATAGATGAGTGTTTCCTATAACTTTTTTTAAGGAAATCCTTATGTAATCTGAAAATGAATGAACTTGCTGGAACTATTAGATTTCCTTCTGCTCTGATTACTGGAAGGAAACCTGAAACCGTGAATTATCTCTATAGTTTATGTCCTACTTCACACTATTGTTCCTCTTTTTTGCCCTTTCTTTTCCAGGCATACGAACGCCGCTTCCCCACCTGTCACCTCATCCCCATGTTCGTGAATAGTGACGTGGTGAACGAGGAGACGAGCGAAGACGGCTCCATCCACAGGATCGAGCGGCGCTGCGCTTTGGATGTTGATGCTCCACGTCTACTTAAAAGGGTCAATAATACCTGAACTCTTTAGCCCTTAGTTTAACTTTTATACATGCCTTTTACTAATTTCATGCCATTCCTTTTTAAGTAACTGATTTTTTCTTTTCTGTGGTTCACAGATTGCTGGTGTAGACTATGTGTACTTCACCCAGAAAAACACGCTGAACAAAAAGGAGAGAACTCTGCACATTGAATCTCACAATGAGACGTTTTCCAACAGGGTCGTCGTCCACGAGACCTGCTGCTATTCAGTCAGTATTCAATTCAATTCAGTTTATTTATATAGTGCAAATTCACAACACACGTCATCTCAAGTCATTTTACAATTCAACCAGATCATACAGTCAGATTGGTTTAAAGTTTTCTTTTTAAGGAAAATCAGCTGATTGTATCGACTCATTGACTCGACCACAATCCCTCAGTATCATATAACTATGCTGCCATACAGAGCCACTTATAGGGCATTTAGGAAAGGCAATAATACAATTTTATCTTTAGAGGCACAGGAAAGTACAGATAATTTGTAATTGCAGTTTTGTGGCTCAGAACAACACAAGCCAGAGTCAAAATCTTCAAGTTAATGTCAATTTTCTCTTAAGGATTCTCTGTTATAAAAAAAATAACTCAAATACTGATTTACAACTAGCATCGCTTCCCGGTTCCCCCTCCTTCAGCAGCAGTGTATCTGATTCCAGATCTGTCTGTTCATGTGTGGAAGTGTTATGAGCTAATGAGGCCAAGCTTATCGTATTAGCTTCCAACCGACTAGAATGCTAATTTTAGGTCCAAAGCCACACAGAGGTTCTTTGCAGGGTGCTGTGTCACTCTGTGGTAGCGGTAACCAGGATGGACAGTGCAGTTAGGCAGCTAATGGACCTGAAATGTTTTAGTACTCAAGGGCGATGAAGCTGCCACCACTTTGCCACCAGGATCAGGGATCTTTTGCGGTCTGGAAAAGTAGGAGATTTGATTTTGATTTCCAGTTGTGGTGTTCATTATTTCTTTCTTTCCTACTTTCCCCCCCCCCTTTTTTCGTTTTTGCTCATTTCCTGCGTTCCTGCTTGCTTCCTTTGTGTGGTTTCTCCTGGATTTAGAATATGTATATTTTATCATGAACACAGTGGGTATACGTCTGTGGATAAAACTGTTCCAAAATGGACCAAGAACTTATCTATATCTTTATGTTATCTTTAGTCTTAAAAAGTGATTGAACCCTGAACACATTTGATATTAAGATAAAGAAGTTGTTCAAAATATACATTTAATATGCGTGCTAGGCTCATAATAATGGATTGTTGATCATAAAATAGAAAAATGGGTATTTTCTCACACTGATTCATAGTTTCTAACCCTTGACTGGTACAGCCTTTACATCATTCCCTATAAACATACAGTTTTATGTTTTATGTGTATTTTGTCCACGTTGAATCCAAACAGCTCATGTGTAAAGCTTTGGCTAAATTTACCCAAACAGACTGACACAAATACTCCCACTCTGTGTGAGAAATGCTGTATTTGTGCGTCATCGTCTTGTGTGGTCGCTATGGTAACAGTTGCCCTCTTCAGTGTGTGGGTACACACAGTTTAGGTTACAGCAGTGTTTTGCTGTGTGTCATTTGCAGGTCCACCCAGAGAATGAGGAATGGACATGTTTCGAACAAACGGCCAGTTTGGACATAAAGTCCTTCTTTGGCTTTGAGAGCACCGTAGAAAAGATCGCCATGAAGCAGTACGCCAGCAGTATCAACAAGGTGTGTGTCTATGGGATTCAACCTCCTATTATGGGAGAGGTTTAGGTGTTTTCTTTGCTGATCTGCGAGTGTATAAGTATTCAAATTATAGCTCTTAATTAGTTTACACGTTACAATGATTAATCTCCACAGAGTTTGATGGAGTTGTTGTATTTTAGGCTGCAAATATTCAGTTTTTATACATTTCAATTAGAGGAAATCCCATATAAACATGTTGTCAGTGATGTAATATATAAATTCACATTTCTTTACTTTTCAGGGAAAAGAAATCATTGAGTTCTACCTAAAGGAGCTTGAGAATGAGGGCGTCACCCATGTACCCCGCTGGTCGTGTTCCACCATTAGTCCTGCTCTCCCTGAACCAAACAGTCTCTCCACCAGCCCGCCAGAAATACAACACGCCATCACGCCTACCGTTTCTGCCTCACAGGCCGCTGAAACCAAAGATTGCGCCGCACAGGATGCAAAGCAGGATAATGGTGCCCCTCAGGCAGACAGCCTAGCAGAGATCCTGGCTGGTACACCTGAAGGTCTGTTTCCTCAGATAAATGAAAGCTGGATGTTGTCCCTCACTGCCTGCTTTATCTTGGGAGAGAATAGGGACACTTGCTTTATAAGTGCTTTACATGAAAAAAAAAAGTTTAGATGAAAATTGTTTGCTGGTAGCGGCATGAATGAATTAAAAACATACATTTTCTGAAGATTTACACTAACAAGCACATGCATGGATCTGTGTCTGCAAAAAAAAAGTTAGATTAACTAGATTTGTTTTGAGTGTAAAAGTCATTTGGGATTAAATCACTGCTGTAATTGATAAACTTGTTTGTTTGGAACATTTTGCTGCAGACAAACTGGATGCAGACTACATCAAACGTTACCTTGGTGACCTGACGCCTCTGCAGGAGAGCTGTCTCATCAGACTTCGCAAATGGCTTCAAGAGACACACAAGGGAAAGGTATTTGCAGTAATTAAGTGGAACAGTTTTCTTGTTGCTTTTAGCAACTTGTCAAAGACGTATCTGTTTTGCTCCTTTTAGATTCCCAAAGATGAACACATCCTGCGCTTTCTGCGAGCCAGAGACTTTAACATGGATAAAGCACGGGAGATACTGTGCCAGTCGCTAACATGGAGGAAACAGCACCAGGTGGACTACCTGCTGGAGACTTGGAACCCTCCACAGGTTCTTCAGGATTACTACACCGGCGGCTGGCACCATCATGACAGAGGTACACCGCAGCGCAGAGCCACACCCAAAGTCAGCTGCTGAAATCTCACATGCAAAAAATCCACGTGCAGCAGGCCTCCTTTACAGCTCGCTGCACGTTTAGACAAACAACCCATCCTTACAACAACTTTTAATCATTTGGCAGCACGTTAGCTGTTCAGTCACCCTCAATATCCTGCTGCACTGACGCCAACATTAAGAGGAAAAATCAGCCCATTATGTTTACTTGAATAGTTTTTCCTTACGCACACGGATGTATGCTGCGTTCTGGACTGTGTTTTGGGTTACTTGGTAGAAAACAATGACGTAAACTTCATTGGAACTCTGCTTTAGTTCAAAGCAAGATAGCGTTTAATGGGAACAGAATAATAAACCATTTCCCAGAGCGTACGTTCACTTATTGTTCCACACAAAGCAGACCTTTCCACTTAACCTCTTTGTGTTGAATGTAAACATTGTGATTGATCGTGTCAATATTTGTTCTACTTTATTAGACGGTCGTCCTCTGTACATCCTGAGGCTGGGTCACATGGACACCAAAGGTCTGGTGCGCGCCCTTGGAGAGGAGTCTCTTCTCCGACACGTACGTAGCCAAACCTGCAGTTCTGGTTCTGTTCCTTACAGAAGGTCGTTAGTTTATAGGTCAATGTTTAGCTCACAGGTTAGGGAGCTAATGACCTAATGAGGATGTTTGCAGCAGATGACCCACATTTTTATCCTGTTGATGGTAAAGTTGGTTTTAATGTGACATTGCAGGTGCTGTCCATCAATGAGGAGGGGCTGAGGCGCTGTGAGGAGAACACCAAGGTGTTTGGTCGACCTATCAGGTAAAAAAATGCTTTTTGTTTAGTTTTTTACCTCTGGATGTAGGAGATACAACTGCCATTTCTAATAGATGTGCTGTAAGTGGCTGTGGCACTTATACAGATTAGCACCACGCTATATTCTCCATAGTTGGAAATGGCATTCATGACTCATATCTGGGTGCAGAGCGTCACTGAGCTCAGATGGGTAGATGGAGGCGCTCCACCAGGAGGTGGGCTGTGAGATAAGGGCTCGACAGACGGGCATCGCAACTATGTGTCTCCGACAAGTTGCTGCAATCAGTGTTCACAATTACCCAGCATTACTTTCATCACTTACACCAGCCTTCAGGGTGTTAGGAGAGGAAAGGAGAGTGCAGGATACTTCTAAGTGTATTGTGTGCTGGAAATTATCCCCACTAATCCTCTTGCACCCTTCTCCGTAGCTGTTGGACTTGCCTGGTCGATCTAGAGGGGTTGAACATGCGTCACTTGTGGCGACCCGGGGTCAAGGCACTGCTGAGGATCATCGAAGTTGTGGAGGCAAACTATCCAGAGACTCTGGGACGGCTGCTTATCTTAAGAGCGCCAAGAGTTTTCCCTGTCCTCTGGACCCTGGTGAGAACTGATGGGGGGGACACCAAACAGCCTCTGCAGTTAGATTAAAAACCAGTGTCTCATTTGAACCGAACACAACCAAACACTTGCTACCCTGGTGAATTATTTTATTTTATTTTTTTAAATACTTTTTAACTCTGATTGCAGGTGAGCCCGTTCATTGATGAAAACACCCGAAAGAAGTTCTTGATCTATGCAGGCAATGACTACCAGGGTCCTGGAGGGCTTGTTGATTACATAGACAAGGAGATCATTCCGGACTTTTTAGGAGGAGAGTGTATGGTAAGTGTGGAGTTTTGCTGATATTTTCAGACTTAAATCCTTTTTAATTTTGAACAACCATAAACATAAATTCATTAATTTGGGACAGACCTTAAAAGAGTGTAGGGTTGTAACCATACTAAAATTTAAAGCTCAATATTGACATCCAGGAAAATATTTCATATTGGATTCCAATTTTGATACCACTGAGATAAAGAGAATATATTATTATTATTATTATTATTATATATTATTATTATTATATATTATTATTAAATAAAGGCATAAAAAACACTTTTTTTTTACAGGGAAAGGCTGACCTTTTTCAATCTCACCATGAAACATGTTTTCTCAACAGAATGGCACATGCTACTTAAATAAATGGCCAAGAAATCTAAGATGAACAATGGCCAAAATGCAAAAAACACTTATCTTTAGTATTGATACAATACCAAATTAGTATTGTAACCAAATGCAGCATTTGAGCATTGATAATTTTCACAGTATCAAAAGTTCTGACAACCCCAATGGAGTGAAAGCTAAAAGACTCATGGTCATTACTTCTTATTCTTTAACAGAGAAAACTGAAATGTCTCTATTGAAAAAGACCCATTTTTCCATCCATGTCAAGTTATGCACCATTTCTTGTAGGTGTATCACATAAAAACCCAATGTAATCAGTTAGAATTTGAGATTGACAAGACAAAGTCTTAATAATATTTAAGAGGTAGGGAACACTTTCCAAAGCTCTTAATATTTGAATGTGATTCTTGTAGCTCACAATCTAGCTGGAGAACTCTCTTCAGTGACTCTGTTATCCGCTTTGCGTGCTTTTCTTCAGTGTGAGGTACCGGAGGGCGGCCTGGTTCCTAAGTCCATGTACCGCACAGCAGAGGAGCTTGAGAACGAGGATGTCCGTCTCTGGACTGAGACCATCTATCAGAGTGCCAGCATCTTTAAGGGCGCGCCACATGAGGTGAGACTCAATACCCACTGGAGTAAGAAATATATACAGAGGAGCTTTAAGGGTTTGGTAAATCTGCTGCCATCTAGTGGCGATGGGTTTTAAATTATTCCCTGTGACAAATAAGCACCCATTATAATCAATAGGAGCATTTCCACTGGCTCCGCAGGGCTGCGTTGTCTGGATGGCAGGACAGTTTGACCCCATTCTATTTTTGCCAGAGCCAGGCTGGTGTTAATCTACTCCGATCTGAACTGAATGTATTTGAAAACCAATCTGTCTGCTGTGACATACTGTTCCTATCATGTTGCATAATTTAAACCGGTGGGACAGATGTCGCCTATAATTATCCCTCTAAGCGGATCTCACTCTGCTCTCCCTGAAGATATATAAATACATTTAAAGTCAACTTTAGATGTGATGATGTACATTTAGCTTTGTCTTTCTTAGATCTCAGTTTGATAAAACAGTTTACTCTTTTTATAAATGCAAAATGTGTTTTACCTAGTTGCTGTGTGTACTTGAACCTTGCTCATTTGCTTCCTCCGAGCAGCTTGTGATCGAGATCATCGATGCTGCCTCAGTCATCACCTGGGACTTCGATGTGTGCAAAGGTGACATCGTTTTTAACATCTACCACTCCAAGCGGGCCCCCCAGGCCCCACGCAAAGACCCCCTGGGCACCCATGGAATCACCTCCCCAGGAGTCAACAACGTCCAGCTTATCGACAAGTCCTGGACTCTTGGGCAGGATTACAGCATGGTGGCATCACCTTTGACCTGTAAGGAGGGTGAGAGTGTGCAGGTGAGAGTCTATCATCATCAGGAAGATCTTCTTATTTATTTTTAAACAAAAATACACTTTTTTGATGCTTTTGTCTCTAATAATGAGTTTAATTTCTTGCTCAGGGCTCCCATATAACCCGTTGGCCAGGTTTCTACATCCTCCAGTGGAAGTTTCATAACATGCCAGCCTGCTCAGCCACCAATTTACCCCGAGTGGACGATGTCCTGGCCACCTTGCAGGTGTCCTCACATAAGTGTAAAGTCATGTACTACACTGAAGTGTTGGGCTCTGAGGACTTCAGGTTGGTAACTGAGCTATTGTTGTTTTTTTATGTGATTTTTTTTATTTTTATTTTCTCCACACAGTAAATCTGGTTATAGTATCTTAGTGCCTTACAACAGCACCCAAAACTTAGACTTTTTCACTTTGAATCAATCTACAGCCACAAATGTCAGCGTGTTTAAAAATGACTTAATGTACGGAAAAAGCATAGGATAGTAAAAGCAGATTATTTTGATGTCACAAAGATGTCAACATATAGCAAAAGACTTGGAAAAAACTATGCTTCTTGAAATGATTAACTGGGAACCATATTTCTGAGTTTTCCTCTTAGAAATAATGGAAGCCATCTGTCCTTTTCCTTCCACTTCATAATAAATCACTGCTGTCGGCCTGTTGCACAAAATCCCCCAAATTTTTCCTGCAAAGCGTCAAAATCTGAAAGTGTGAAAGGCACTATATGTGGAAAAGCTTAAACTCTGCAGTCCTTGTCCCTCCCTCTTAAGAAATACTTCTGTCCTCTAAGTCTATAGATCCTTTTTTGTGAATCTTTTGTGGCTTATGGTTAAAGTTTCCTGTTCTATATAACAGAATTTTACTTGTTGGAAAAAACATGACAATTTAAAAAATATTTTGTTTCTCTTTTTTTTATTTATTTATTTTTTATTATCCTTTTAAATGATCTTTTTCTGTCCAATCCACTGTTCTATTGCTCACAACCCCTTCCTCCTCCTCCTCCTCCTGCTGTGTCTTCCTCCTATGAAGAACGGCTTGCTGTGATGTGCAGAGTTTGTAAGTGGCTCAGTGTTTGCCCTTTTTTTTTTTCTTTAGCTTAGCTCATAATTTTTTGCTGCTTTTGGCTGCTAAACAGAGTGCCCGCCCCCCCTCCTCTGAAGTCACGCTTCTAACACTGCGCAAAACACAAAAACAACAAAAAAAACTTCTTGTCTTGCTTCTTGTTAGCAATGCTAACCAAGCATTGAGTAACAGGACTTGTTTTTCTCACGCTGAAGAAATCTTTGCACCACAGTTTGGGGTCTAATCCAGTCTTTACTTATTGTGCTTGCATGATTAACTTCCTGTAAACACTTTCCCAGGTGGGCAACGTAAACACACTCATTAGAATGTGCTGGCTTTCAAATTTGCCTCATTTTTAGTCACTTGTAGAATCTTGTTTTGATGTCATTTTGTATCACATTCTTTTCTTTATTTCATAACTACAATCCTAACAGTCCAACTCATTTTAATTCTACCTAAAGATAAGACACTTTGCTGATAATAACCTAACTGATGAAGACATTAATACAAAACCAAACATTGCTTTCTTTATCTGCAAACATTTGAACTGGATTCAGTTTATAAGTATCTGCGCTAGATTCAGGGATGTGTGTTTAAGACTGCTTGGTCTCTGGGGGCCTGTAGTCTGAGCCATGTGTAGGAAAGTTTAATGTTGGTTACCTGAGAACTTCTTGGCTTCTTTAGCCAGCAGTCTTATGTTTGTCCAATTCAAAGTCAAATAAACAAATCCTACATCATGAATGTCCATTATCATCTCAGCCACCTTTCTTTTTCTTAGGGCTTACCGTTGTCCAGTGGATGATACGGCTCAGAGACTGTAGCTACAGATCATTTTTAAGCACATTTATCTAAAATAAATGAATCAAATGGCACCTTTTAATCTTCCTTAGCAAATGTAGATTAAAGGCTCCTAATGGGGAAATGAGAGCAGATTAGCTCAGCCTTCCTGTTACCAGCTAAATGTCTTGCTCTCTCTTGCAGTCTGAATGAACCACAGTGCTACCTCAGCAGTGTAGCTTTGTTTCCTTGGTCATTTGTTACCACATGCTATTGACAGGGAAATGATTTGTTCTCACCACCTGGACAAGAGCAGGATCTTAAGTCCCCCAAGGCTGGATCCTGTATGAATCTTCAGTCTTAAACGTTTTGAAGCTGCTGTGGTTTCTCACGGTTTTCATTGTCTGCTCAGACTTTAAACCTAAATGGAACCAAACAAGCATGCCTTATTTAAGGTTATTTAAGCCTCCCTATGGTGCTGACTTTGATGGTTTGAGTAAAAAGCTTTAGTAGGTGATGGTGTGCTGGTTTTGGTGCTGGAGCGTGTGGTGTAGCTGGAGCTTTAGACTGGGCTTCCTTCTGCAAGGTTGATCACAGTGCATGGTTCTGCATGAGTCATGCACACGTTTCAGACGCTTCTTAGCAGGATGCAGTTCAGCTCAGGTCAGTTTCCTATATTCATCCCAACCGTTTTGTTTTTCTCTCCTAGGGGTTCGATGACCAGTTTGGAATCAAGCCACAGTGGTTTCTCTCAGCTCAGCGCTGCTACCACATCCTCTAACCACTCCCAGTCCAGCTCCATGATCTCCAGGTAGAAACTGGCAGCAGCGGACTTCACACCCTGAACCCCTTCGATCCACAGCCTTTATTATCATCATCGTGGAAACCTTCTCCTTCCCCTACGATCCCTCTCGTCTTTGGACTCAATTGCACAAATAAAAGATGAAGAGTTCTGAAACTGAGGCAAAAAAACCTGAACATTTTAAAGGGCTGAAATTTGCACAAAGGATAGATTTTGCTGGAGGTTCCCTTGCAAGGGTGGACATATAAGGTCAAAGGTGGAAGAGGAGAGAAGCAATATTTTCCTCCCATGGTTCCGGGGAGAGACACTGGAGGAAGCTGTTACATTTATGTTCACTTTATCTGCCACTCACAGCACTGAGACGACTTATACCTCACTCATGCTGTTACATTAAAAACGCACCCAAGTTTATGACATGCACAAGTTAATCTCTCCACACCGTTACTGAAAAAAAAAGGGTTTGTGTTACTAGTTAGTAGTTTATAGGTCAAATGTGGGTGGGTTAACGTCCTAACAGACCTGGCTCCAACATAAACTGCTAATAATTGAAGCTCACTGCATCATAGCTGTGCTTTTGACCAACAAACCCCCCCTCACTTTGAGGAGCAGTGGAGTAATATACCCAGGTCTGTGATGTTGGGGAGTTAATCTGCTTGCTGCAGTAACGCAGGTTGGACTTATTACTGTGTGAAACCTTTATTTATTATTTAGATGCATGTAGAGTAGCACACAAGAAGACATAAAAAAAAATAAAAACTCCCTCTAACATCCCTGCAGCATTTATGTAAGAGAAGGAAAGCGACCAGATTCCTGGCGATGCTTGGTTACCTTTCTATCTACAAAAACGGGGAATTCAGATCAAGGAGCGATGCCTCGTCTGATTGGTGAATGTGCTGCTTCTGCTAAGCCAATAATATGCCTGAGTTGGAGTAGTGGTGAAGTTCCTAGTGGGTGCTGAGGTTAGTTCTCCACGTCAATGATGTGGATTTCAGAGCGCAGGTATGGGTTGATGACATTAATCGTGTATTGTATGTGTGCTGGTTTGTGAAAGTTGTGGAAGCAAGAACGTGTGTGTGGGGGGAGGGTCGTTGCGTTTCTGCACACACACGGGTTTACTGATTTATTATTTAAGAACTAAGAGAGCCATTTTTTAAGAGCCATGTGTCAATAAATGCCATTTTAGCCTTTGTAAGCATCACTTAGAAATGTTTCTGCTATTTTCAAGGTGACCACTGTAACATTTCAAAATGCAACACTTCCATGCAGCAGTTTGTAATAGTTTACTTCATATGTTTAACAAAAAACAGCAATTTTGTGGCAATAAGCCTCCTGTGGGGGGAAAGCTGATTTCAATATCCAGGACTGCTTGTTTATAGCTATTAAAGGTCAGCAGTTGTTTGAGGGTCATTCATTGCAATAAAATGTGGAAAAAGGACCTTTTCAATGCAGAGTGGAAATGCGTGAGTGTGTAAAATAATGAATGTTGCCATACAGTGGAGATGTATCTAATAGAAAGTCTTCAACGTTTTCTCACCCTGTAAGCAGATGTTTCCTAATTCCTTCCTTATTGTCGGGCGCACTTTGAGAGCTGCATTTATTTCAGCTACTGTTTGTTTTTCTGTGTTTTTTTTTTTTTTCTTTCATCTTTGGACTTCTGCTTTAGTCAAAATCAACAGCAGTTTGTTGAGTAGCCGGCAGATTATCTCAATGCTTTTCATTTACATCACATTCATAAAATGAGGGCTATATGACCTTTTGTCTGGATTATTCAACAGGATTTCTGTCTCCCTACTTTCCTTGCATATCGTCTCTGCATCTACATGTGAGAAACTAGAAATACAAAAATACGTTTTTGGACGAACAAGGAAATGTCGCCTTTATGTTTTGAAGTCAATAAACTTGAATTATGATGGAAACACCCAGGGAACTTCTGTTTATTTTCTCTATTTATCTTACCCATTGTTTAAGCTATACTTTGTTGCACAGGGATATGCACTAAGTAAAGAATTGGAGTAATATTACACCTCTACTCATTCAGATTTTTCTTTATTCCACATGCAGCACAATCCTGCATCGATTGTTTTACCTCTTACGCCACTAGAGGGCGTTTCTGTGTTATTCACACTGATCTCCATTTGTCATAGACTCCACCCGGAAGTCTCCACAGTGTTTGTGGAATTCATGGTTTCATCAAACCTCCATTCAATCTTACAAACACAAATCAATAATTGAACCCACTGAAAACCCAGTGGGAACCCACTGAAAAGATCATTATAGTGGTTGGTTTTAACATCCATGCTGACATTGAAGGTGAAAGCTTAAGTGCAGCCTTTAATGCTATCTTATTTGCTTTATTCAAAATGAGAATAGTCCCACACATTCTAATCTTCATACTTTGGACCTTGTGCTGATATATGGCATTGGATGTGAATTAATAACAGTAATTCCTCAAAACCCTGTCCTCTTTGACTACTTTTCAATAACCTTCAGGGTTACTTTAAAAGAAGATGATGCAGTTATACATTTTAAAGAATCTGTTCTAATTTATATGTCTTCTGTATCACTGAACAATACTGCTGAGGACAACCAGTTAATCTATCCCTCTTTAAAAATTGATGATTTTGTTGATATGGTTATTAGTTCCCCGCTTACTACCTTAGACAGTGCAGCCACTTTGAAAAAGAAAAACTTTAAAAATAGAAAGCTGGCTCCCTGGTTTAATGCAGAGCTGCACACTCTGTAGCAAAATGCTAAGAAATTGGGGAGAAAATCACGCTCTACATGCCTACAGGAATCCTACCTAGTCTGGAAAAACAGTTACTGCTGTATGAGATGACCCATCATAAAGCAAGAGCAGTTTTTTTCATTAATAGAGGAGAATAGGACTAATCCTAAATATCTTTTTAATACGGTTCCCAAATTCACCCAGAGCCATAGCTCTGTTGAACCGTCAATCCCAGCTGCACTTTGCAGTAATGATTTTATGGGATATTTTTTTTAAATAAGATTGAATCTATTAAAATAAGATCATTAGCACCCCTCTAGTTTTGAGGCAACAATAGAATCTGAACCGGATTCAGACTGCTTTGATCCAGTTGAACTTTCAGAGTTAGAAAAACTACTGACTTCATCTAAGTCTTCAACTTGTATGTTAGATGAAGTATTCTTTTGATCTCTTTTTCCATTTTTTAGATGATTAACCTATACGTGTTACAGGGATATGTACCTCAGGCTTTTAAGGTAGCTGTAGATAAACCTTTACTTAAGACATTGTCTCTTGACCTAGATGACTTGGTCAATTATAGACCTAATCTTCCTTTCTTTTCTAACGATATTGAGAAAATTGCTTGTGATGACTTACACGATAATTAATTTTTTGAAGAGTTTCAATTTGGTTGTAAGGCTCATCATAGCACTGAAACAGCTCTGGTGAAAATCACTCATGATATTGTCATGGTAATTATAAATCTTCCTCATACTCCAGGGTTACCTGTGGAGTACCACAGGGATCAGTGCTAGGACCAATTCTCTTTATTATATATATATATATATATATATATATATATATATATATATATATATATGCTCCCAAATGGTAGAATTATTAGACAGCATGGGATTAATTTCCACTGTTATGCTGATGATACCCAGCTATATCTGTCTATAATCCAGATGAAGCTAACCCATAGATTATAGGCATTATAGGCATGTCTTGAAGACATAAAGAAATATATGACTCTTAACTTTCAGCTCCTGAATGCAGACAAAACAGAAGCTATAGTCTTTGGATCAGTCTTTGAAAAAGAAGCTGATTAGTTGTTTTTTTTATCATTTTGTTTTTAAGTAAATAATTAAAAAAAGGTATTTGAAATTACTTTAAATGTTTAAATATGTATTGTGTGCCATTTTTGGCATTATTTCATATGTGATTTGATTTACAGTAATTTTAAAGTAATTCTATTTCTGTCCCAGTAGTTATTTTCTCTTTCTCAACTTTGATATAAACTGAAAATATTGTGTGCTGTGAAAAAACATGTGGTGCAACCATTGCATCATAAATAAATGTCCACATTTGTGCTTTCCTATATTCAGCTGAGGATTTCTATGAATTATTGTTACTTTAATTTGACCCTATTTAAATTTGTCTTTCTTCTTGGCGAAATTTGTATTTTTCCCCAACTTTTTTAATAGACAAGGTTTTGCTTAATTTCTACACGATACAATAAAAAAACATATAAATAAAACTCATTTAAGGCATGTAATTTAACTATTTGATTATAAGTAATTGTACATTTATTATTTCTTTACAGACTCAGCCTTGCATCTACTTCACTAGATGTCGCTGGTGAATTCACAATTAATTCCCTGCATTTTTCAAGATATTGGGTGAATTGATTACAACAGTTCATAGATTGCACTGTACTCTACACGTGTTTTTATATGTTTTAACCAAACAGCAGAAAACAACACATTAATAATCCACCTTAGTGTTGGACTTTTGCAAATTTAAAAGTAGTTAGGACACCTCTGTTCTTGTTTTTACCTGTGTGCAATAAAAATGTAGGAACAAAAAGTGCTTCACAGCACCATCAGCTCAATGCTTAGCTTCCCTTTAACACATGTAGAGAAAAATCTCTGGAGCTGCCACAATCCACCAATATTAAATATTTAAACTGTGATTTACACAGACTGCTGAAACCTATTTTATATTGTGAATAATGAGAGCATAAACTCAGTATCTTGTATTTATTCTGATACTTGTTGTGTATGTTGGAATTTAAAGAAATTTAAAATGTAGTTGCAATTCAGCAGCGCTGTAACTCAAGTGTCTCAACAAGTGTAGAAAATCTTGGAGGTAAGACATTGTCCAGACTCTTGTTCTATCTACAGATAGAGTGGACCTCGGATAGGACGTAGAAATACCCTGCAGGTGTGAACATACCGAGAGAAGATTGAGAGCAGGAAGTGGTTTTCTGACTTTGACAGACTGATAGGGCAGGAAGTGCAGGCTTGCTCTCACAGGAAATTGATTTTAACAGTCAACAGTCAGCAATACACCCACAAGTAGCCTGGGACAACTGCAAATGCGTGGATACAGGGTTTTGTTCTTACAGATACTGTCAGGCTCAGTCAGAAGGATTAAATGCATTTTCTTAAGATTTCTTAAAACAGAAGTTGTAATCCTTGGCTGTGCACACACTGTCACATTTTTCAAGCAGGTTATTTAATGTGTGAGATACCATTTTAGAAATTTCCTTAAGCTCATGAACCTGTTAGATAAATATATATATATGTTAACTATCTCTTATTGTCCAATAGTGAAAACCAGTTTTGATATAGCGCAAACTGTTTAATTTGTTCTTTAAGGTTGTTTAGGTTTTCTTTTAAATATAACATTAAAGCAAAAAAAAAGGGAGAGAGGATTGGTAATTAAAATATAAAGTCTACAAAACAGAAGGATTATTTGCAAAAAGGTGAAGTTCTCAGTGGCACTTAATGAGGAAGCAAACAGTGTATGCAGCAGAGAAGTTTGAGTCCTGCAGCAGAGCAACCGCAGGCACAGCAGCTACTTGCCTGTTGTTGTTGCCGGATAACGTTTTTTACGAGACAGGAAACGAGACAAGAACAGAGACTGAACCAGAGAAGACTACTTTGACTATGTTAGCAGAAAAAAAGCCCTTCAAGATAGCAGAAAGTCAATAAGGACGCCGGATAACCTCTTATGAAGGTAGTTAATGCA